TCTCTCTCTCACTCACTCACTCACTCACTCACTCACTCACTCACTCACGCATATACACACACAAACATACTTAGGCCGGTCCCAGACTGGATCTGTAGGTCTGACCTGTAGCTCGCCTAGCTCGCGCCGTGCAAATGAACGTATACATAAGGCCAATCATGTGCCCGAGCAGCGTCGCTGTATGGTCTGTCTGTTGTCAGCTGAGCTGCGCGACGCGTCAGGCGTGCTATTCAACAGTGTTGTAATACACGTCGGACATGTTTTCGACTGAAACTCTTCACAGATCATCAGAAGCAACAAGAAGTAAGTATTATTAGGTGCTTTACTCTTAGATATTGATGCTAGCATCAACACTTGACCACAAAATCTCAAGAAATGCACTTTATCTTACACTAGAACTTCGAATCGAAAGGTTGACCTAGTTTCGACTGTAGACACTGAAGACAACACACAGTACGGCTGTGCTGACACGCACTCACTCAGACACAGAAGACAAAACACAGTACGGCTGTGTTGACACGCAGAGGGCGCTCACTCACACACTGAAGCCAACGCACAGTGCGGCTGTGCTGACACCCAGAGGGCGCTCACTCAGACACAGAAGCCAACGCACAGTATGGCTGTGCTGAAACGCAGAGGGCGCTCACTCAGACACAGAAGCCAACGCACAGTACGACTGTGCTGACACCCAGACGGCGCGCCCTTGGCGAGCTACAGGTCATACCTACAGAGCCACTCTGGACCTGCCTTACACTCACTCACTCACTCACTCACTCACTCACTCACTCACTCACTCACTCACTCATTTACTCACTCACTCACTCATTTACTTACTCGCTTACTCACTTAATCATTCATTCATTCACTCACTTACTCATTTACTCACTCACTCACTTACTCATTTACTTACTCACTTACTCATTTACTCACTCACTCACTTACTCATTTACTCACTTACTCACTTACTCATTTACTCACTCACTCACTCACTCACTCACTCACTCACTCACTCACTCACTCACTCATTTACTCACTCACTCACTCATTTACTTACTCGCTTACTCACTTAATCATTCATTCATTCACTCACTTACTCATTTACTCACTCACTCACTTACTCATTTACTTACTCACTTACTCATTTACTCACTCACTCACTTACTCATTTACTCACTTACTCACTTACTCATTTACTCACTCACTCACTCACTGACTCACTCACTCACTCACTCACTCACTCACTCATTTACTAACTCACTCTCTTACTCATTAACTCACTCACTCACTTACTCATTAACTTACTCACTCACTTACTCATTAACTCCCTCACTCACTTACTCATTTACTTACTCACTCACGTACTCACTCACTCACTCACTTACTCACTCACTCACTCACTCACTCACTCACTCACTCACTCACTT